AAACATATGTTAAATTAAAAATAGCAAACATACAGTATATTTTACATTTAATTGTTCATTTTCTTTTATAGTTATCCAGTGAGTTTAGCTATTGCAGAAGGAATGTTATTGTTGACTGTTTGGGTCATGTGAGTTTATAGTTAATGTAAAAAATTACATGATGATATATAGATTGATTATTTTGTGCGGGGGATAGGAATCAGATCAACATTATGAGGTGGGTGCGAGCTAGCTTAGTCTAATGCCTATATTAATAAAACCGTATCATGATTAATATATTCCTCAAAATTAATAACAAAGGTTTTACCTGACGTGACATTTTTGATATTAAGGAATTTCTGCACGTTCGAAATGAAAATAGTGAGATACCCGCATCTTTTACTAGAACATTTTCACTTCATTATGGAATCAACACCAGAAGTACCTGTAGTATTAGAAACGTGCTGATTCCTTAGAATCATTTCTAAACTTAGATAATCCCTTTGTTCAGTATACACAGCCTTTTCTGCAAACCCAAATTACCCCTGATAATTATACATATATACTTATGCAACAACATGCTCAACTAGAATGACGCCAGGACAGTGACCGGCATGCCAAACAGCACCCATAAAACGACTATCAAGAATCGTCCTCGTCACTGGGCATTCAGATAGTGCACGCACACCTCTGTCATCTAAACTTGCATCAACAAAGAAGTCACCTCCAGTCGAAGGGACAAGGCGATGTCTCAACAAGGTGAATATGTTGCCTTGTGGAAGACGCACAAAAATCCGGCATATGTCATAGCATACCCATGGGCAAAGGAAGACCTTGCTTGAATTTTTGGCATTACATTGCATCAACGCTGATGCATGTTCTTCCACACAGTTAAAAAAAGTTGCTCTAAAAAGTTAATACATTTAATTAACCATGCTTTATTAGTCTCACAAAAACAATATTTGCATTATTTTAACCATAGATTATTCTCTCACCTCCTTATTCTCTGTTTTTGTGATGCTAAATTTTGGTTTTCGTGTCGATTTTTTTTTGCCAGATTCCTACAATCTCCCAATTGTTTCTCTGATATTCCAGTTTGTTTGTTTTTCAAGATCCTGTAGTTGTTTCATTTACATTAGGCAACTAGAATTTTTTGATGTTGAATTTTCTACCTGTTTTTTTTTTCAATATGGCCGCGTAACAATTCTTTCTGATCGTACACCGCCAGATCTTACAAGAATATTTCATAATTAATATATCATAAAAAAGTGGAATAAGATAATAATCTTTAAATCTAATTAATTATATATTTTGGTTGATAAAAAAACAAACTTAGCTTTTTTGTTGTTATTTAATCCTTTCCTTCTGTGAATACCTGCATCCATTAAATATTCATGATAATTATTCAATACATTTGATGTTGTTGATATAACAAACAATTGCATCACTCAAGTAGTAATAATACCAAGGCCATGCAAAAAATTTTTTAATAATGCATGTCTACCAGTAGTTCACAAGAATAAATAAATAGGGAGGGTTTCCTTCCCAATAATAAATCTGATATTGATCACAGGTGTCAGATTTAATTAAAATTTCCTTACCACAAACAATGGTACCGCCTCCATCCTTGCATAAAATTTTTACTACAAGTGAAGGCTCCCCAATTGTTTGAAGGTTTTTTCATAAAGTCAACAAAAACTTTCCCTTATTTTCCCCTCGGACCAGGCTTGATTGTTGCCGTATGGGGCATTGATCACTGATGAAGATCTGCATTTGTGTGATGATTGCTTTGTGTTATACCCCTCTAGAATAAAGTCTGTGTCTGCAACGGATTGCTGTTTTGGATTTCCCAGAATTTAGGCACACCAATGTTGGTCAAATGAAAATTAAAGAACCTTCTCTGGTTTGGGGAAGATTAGTGAAAACATCGTTGACTATTGGTCGATGAACAGAACTCTGTTTGCATCGTTCTATCTCTTTGAGAGTATCTCGGTCAGATTAGCCTTGTGTAAATGAGGAACGTGAGAATGACTGTAGTGTCCAAGACAGTGTGCGTACTTTAACGCCTGGGTAAGATATGTCGGGGATAAGATATGACAAGGTTAAGGTATGACCCTAAGCTCATACCTTAACCCTCACATATCTTACCTTCGACATATTTGGTAGTCAAACCTTGTCCTTGTATCTTAAACCTGATATATCTTACCCTCGACATATCTGGTAATCAAACCTTGTCCTTGTATACTCAAAATGTTTCTTTTTCAACAGTGTGCTGCCTTGACGTGTAATTATATATTTATAATAATATTAATATTGCTACTGATTACGAAAAGCAAATACCAATTATTTACCATCTTGATGAGGATCTTATAATTACCTAGCAAGATCTGCTCCGCGTTTTGATTTCAATTAAAATATTTACAAATTAAAAAAAAGTACCTCTGGTCAGTTATTAACACGTCTTCAGGAAGGTACCAAACAACAACTTGTCATTGTTAAAAAATAAATTGTTTCCAAAAAAACCAATAGAGTGTTTGTCGATCAAACTTCTTATTCTTAATTGTACTGCTCTTATTATTATTATGAAATAAACTGAAGATTTACGGAGTGATAAACATGATCACGGAGATATAATGGAAATATTCTGGGTGTCATTTTTTACAGGGGAAAGGATACATCTTGAGCTTTTACAACATCAGAAAATGATAAAACTTTTGAATACCATTTAACTTTTAAAGATAACCCTCTAAGCTAGTTTTAATATCAAAATATTGAAAGCCTTTTCCACTTTCATTGTATTTGGATTTATTTAATCTGGCGGCCTAGACTTTTTACAACATTAACAATGTGATCCACACAACCTACAGTTGTTTTCGATAGAATTCTTTATCAATTCAAAGCTACCATCACATTTAAATTTTGCGTGCTCAGGAACCGTGAAATTTTTAATTTAATATCTATCAAATATTAAATAGTCACATTATTTTTATTCTGTTCACCAGTATTCTAATTTTCAGATGCCCTTCGATCTCTTAATTCCATTAAAGACCATACTTGGGACCCTTCCCGATAAGTTCATCTTCATAAAGAACATAGTTTATTTGTTCTCTTCTTGAATGGACTTTGCGAGAACTAAGATAATAAATAAATCTTACTTTTGCGCTCAGTCATGCAAACATTAATGTCAAAGATAAATATCAATATAAGTTTAATACTACTACTGCACTGATAGTTCAATAGCGAGTCAGTTTTCATGTTCAAATATCATTCTTTCAGATAGTGGTCGATGATTGATTAACACATAAAAAGAATAGGAATAAACTGGCACAACGCAATTTATTGATGTCTTTACCAACTATTTTTTCCATACATTTTATCGGGTGAAAAGTACTTTATTAAAGAATCTATACTAATACTAATAAATGTTACAAAGTATACGGAGTTACCGTACCATAATTTTCTATAGTAATAGTAATAGTAATAGGGTAAGTAGAAAAACTTCAAGAAATGAAAATCTATTCCCCATATCCTGCTGATATAAAAGAAAAAATCACTCAAGCCTCTACTATCGAGCAAATAATCAATGCTCATCATCAACCTCGTTTCAATGGATCCATTGAATGCATAAGAAAATTGCATTTAAAATCGTCATGTCAAAATTACTAATTGCGTTTCAACGAGTTTCATATGTTTTTAAAAATTCATTATAATTTTTGCGGAAAATTATAACGAAATGCAAAACGTTTAAAAAATTATCGAGAACTCCTATATATTCGTAATACAAATTCTTGTTCGAATTGTTCGTTTTGTTCGGGTTTTTATTCGTTTTATTCGGGTTTTTATTCGTTTTTTATTCAAAGTATTATTAATTATTCGCGACTATTTATGTAATGTCAGTCAACTCGAAAACTTGAGCCTATTATTTCTTGGCTTGGTCAATGTTAGAATATGTTTCTGAAGGAGCAAGCGGATTGTTTTTATTCAAGTACTGCCCAACTTGTAATTTTTTAGGTAAAATATTAGGTGCGCTTGTTGAACATATCTTTCTCATTATTGAATGGTTTATTCCTTGACGTTCAAATAGAAAAAAACCAACTTTCGTGAGATCGAACCAATTTGATAAATTTACAACTGAATTCTAAAGATTCTAAAAATAAATAACATGCATTTGTTAACATATATATAAAATCAAACGAATTTTAGCCATAATGACAAACAGCTTTAAACAAATTAAACTTAAATACCATCTCAAGTAGATAATGAGCAAGCAGCTTTTACTAATTTTTTTATAGCCATTCATTTTTGGTCTAACTTGGGTACCACATTTTTTACATTGATTTGTCCCAAGCTTTTTTTTACATCTTGACTCAGAAGAATAAAAAGTCCATCCACTTTGTGACCAATCTCTTGGTTCTTCTTCGAATTTAGAAACATGATCTCCACAAGACCACAATGGATAGTTTTTGTCTAAAAATATATTATATATATGTTGAGATTTAATTAAATTACATGCAACTAAAAAATAAACCAATATGTATTACTGCCGTTATCTTTATCCAAATTATCTTTGTCTGAATTACAATGAATGCAAATTCCATTGGGCTTTGTAAATCTTTGATTGATAATTTGAGAAAAAGTTTGCAAACATTATTTTTGAGAGAAAAAAAAGATTAATCATATATAAACCTTCATTAATAGATTCTTCAAAATTTTTAGTAAAGTAGAAAATTTATTTATTTTATACAATTTTTTTCAAAGTAGAGAACTGTTTTTATTTACATTATTAATTAAACATCCAACATTTCCTAATAACTAATTAACTAGAAAAGAAAAAATACATTTATTCTATCATTGGTTTTTTTAACAGAATATTTGAGTTGTCAGTTTTTTCAACATGGTTATTTGAATCATCAGTTTTTCAACAATTATTAATTCTTTTAACCATTCATCCTAGCCGATGCTAATATTAATTGAATGATTGTTTTACGTAATTGCGTAATTATGCGGCCTGTATTTTTCAAAAAAAAAAGTATAGTAATAGGATTAACAAAATTTCTTATACCCTGTACTTTTCAAAGTTTATTGGGTGAATCTCAAAAGATACAGGGTACAGGTCACCTGTTACATGATTGCAACAAATTTTTTTAATTTGGACTCAATAATTACTAATTATAATTTTCTCCCAGATGAGTTTTATCCTATTTTCCAACAAGCTGTAAACTTTTGATGAGCCAATCTAAATGTACTCATTCCTTCTCATCCTGGATGTGCATTTTTTTGTACATGTCAAATTTTTGATTCAATTTGTTGTCTAACACAAGTAGATATATGTCAATACAATATCATCAAAGAATTAAATAATCCATGATTTATTAAATGAATGGGCAATTTATTGCGGATCAGCGTTTAATATAGAATGAATATTGGTCAAACATTTTATCCCTTTTAGGATTTTTTATTTTGTAATAGTTTTTAAAATTAATGGTCGCGTAACTATTCTTTCTGATTTCACGCCACCAAATCGTTTAAATATAGATCCGTTTTTTTGAAAAACTGCAGAATTCATAGATATTATAACGGAAATTATGCAGATATAGTAACAGCAATAATAGTGTTTTAATGCATGGTATGTATACGGAATTTGATTTAGCACGAAATTAGTGTTTTATCACTGCAGAAATCATTGCTCCTGACTGGGACTGTTGCCTTTAATTCTTTAAATGAACAGTTACAGTTCCTTCTGGCGTGATTTTTAACAGCACCCCAAAAACTTTCATATAGTTCAATTCACAGTGATATCTGGGATAAAATATTATTTTATGTCCTGCATTCAGGTTTCGATGATAAAATCGATCTGTACAACAATCAACAACTTCAAGAACCTGTGTATGATTTTTACATTTTTTTAACAACCCATCTTTTCACAAACCTTGTTTTTCTATTACAAATTTTATACTTTTAGGCTTTCCATTAAGTAATTATTTTTTTTTTACATTTTAAAATTGATAATCATTTATTTTATGATTCACTCTCTGAATAAACTGAACAAATGTTAATTCATTCTCTTCTAGATTTACTTTGAATAACTTTTCTTTGGATCGTGTGTATATATCGAGTATCGGCATAAAAAATTCTGGTAAGTAGCGCAGCACGTGATGTCTCACACTGTATTACACATAATCCAAATAATAATTCTACGCCATTTTAAAAAAATTACGTAAAAAAACTTCCTGATGTTAGAAGATAAGAATGCAAAAGAGAATGCAAAAGAGAATGATGTAGAGAATGTTGTAGAGGATGTTGTAGAGGATGAAGAAAAGGGTGAAGAAAAGGAAGAGGACAAGACTCAAGCTAGTGGCGGTTAGTGGTAGTTAGCTGTGGTGGTCGTGTTTATTTTTGTTTTAAAAAAAATTTTTAATCTTTGTTTATTATCTAAAAGTTAAAAAGAAGAAAAAGAAAAAGAAATCAAAAAAAAAAAGCAACGCAGCAACAGTTGACAATAATGATGCTACTAATACCATAGCTCAGACTGAATTAAAACAAACTGAACCTCCTACTATTCCTGTTAGTAAATTTTATCCTGATGGAATATATCCAGAAGGAGAAATATGTGAATACAAAAATGAGTTAGTGCTATGATGATATTGTTATTTATTGATTATTTATCAAGCCAAAATATTAAGTTTATGTATTTATATATTATGCATGTACATATTATATACAATAATAGCAACCTTAAGAGAATCACAAATGAAGAAAAAAGAAACCTTGACAGAATGCTTTTTGATGGTTATAATGACATTCGTCGTGCTGCAGAAGTACATAGACAGGTATTATATAAAATTTTTAATATATATATATCAAAAAAAAAAAGTTGCTTTTAATAAATCAAATTAATCATTGATCAATTGATTGAATTGTAGGTACGTAAACATGCTCAAAAAACTATTAAGCCAGGAATGACAATGATAGAAATTTGTGAGTTAATTGAAAATTCGACTCGGTTATTGATAGAAGAAAATGGATTGTCAGCAGGTAATTATTTAAAAAATATACATATATTTACAGTTTGCTACACTCTGTGCTCATCTCTTTACCAATTATTATTTATGGATGATAACAATTTTTATGCAAACAAGAAAAAAATATCCATGCTACTCACCATAAATTAATCATCTTAATTAATTTGTTGGTCTATACTTATGGAAACATTAATAATTATATAATTGATAGTAATAACAACAACAAGAATAATAATGATAATAATAATAATATAAATGTTATAATTATTGATTTATATAGGAATCGGTTTTCCTACTGGTTGCTCACTAAATAATTTTGCAGCACATTATACACCAAATTCTGGAGATAAAACAGTGCTACAATATGATGACGTTTGTAAAATTGATTTTGGGACACATGTTAATGGTAATTTTTACAATAATGTATGTGTATATGTAATTTATTATTATTGAAGACAAAAGATAATTTATTATTATTATTTGAATTGGTAAATATAAAATAAAATAAAATAAAATAAATATAGGTCGTATTATAGATAGTGCTTTTACGCTAGCCTTCAACCCAGTTTATGATAATCTTAAAGCTTCTGTTAAAGATGCTACAAATACTGGTGTTAAAGTAAGTTTTTTCTTCTTTTCTTTTTAACAATCATTGATAAGAAAATTAAATTTACTTTTCTCAAATAACTAAAATAGGAGGCAGGTATTGATGTAAGATTGGGTGATATCGGGGCAGCTATCCAAGAAGGTATTGTTTATACTAATTATTGTTTCTTAGATTCTCTAATATTTCTACAAAAGAAAATTGATAATTTAAAAATTAAAAATTAATCATTTTAGTTATGGAAAGTTACGAAGTTGAAATAAATGGAAAAACACAACAAGGTAAATATTTATATGGGTTGGTTATTTCTTATTATTTAATTTTTTTTTTGGAGGAATAATATATTGATTTTATTTTATTAATTTATTTTATTTTTTAATATTAAGTTAAACCAATACGTAATTTACATGGACATTCAATACTTCCATATCAAATTCATGGAGGTAAATCAGTTCCTATTGTCAAAAATGGAGATCAAACCAAAATGGAGGTACATATAATACATATAGCCTCTTTCAATCATATTTCAGATTATAAATTTGTTTTATTCATAAAGTAACGATAACTATTATATATAGGAAGGAGAATATTTTGCTATTGAAACATTTGGAAGTACGGGGAAAGGGGTTGTTCATGAAGATGGAGAATGTAGTCATTATGCAAAACGACAAAATCTTGGACATATTCCTTTAAGGTAATTTTTAAAAAAAAAAATAAATTATTTAAAAAAAGAGGATAAACTAATATAAAATTTTTATTAACGTAAATAGGGTTGCAAGAACAAAAGCACTTTTAAATTCAATCAGCAAAAATTTTGGTACACTTCCATTTTGTCGTCGTTATCTTGATCGAGTGGGAGAGACAAAATATGCATTAGCATTAAAGAATTTGGTTGATGCAGGTGCAGTGGAATCATATCCGCCACTGGTTGATATTAAAGGTTCATATACTGCCCAGTATGAACATACAATAGTTCTAAGACCTACATGTAAAGAAGTAAGTTATAATCACATTGTGATAAAAATTGATAAAACTTTAATTAACATTTTAATTCTTTAAATAGGTTCTTAGTAGAGGTGATGATTATTAAAAAAAAAAGGGGTTCCAAATCATAATTATAATTATAATGTAATGTTTGTTTTAATTTAAAAAAATAATAAATTATAATATGGTGCGGAAAGTCTATTTATTGCGCCACGCGCTGAAAAACTGATGTTAATCACGTGACATTTAATATTAGCATAAGAATGCAAACAAAAATAAAATCGGTGTAGCCTATTTTTTCTTTCTTTGCTCAAAAAAAAAATTTTTTATTGGTAAAATGTAATGCTTAACCTTTATTGCTTGTAAAAGCACTATCCTAATTTTCCATTTTTTCCATGGAATGTATGGCTCAGAAGGCTGTGAACAACTATTTTAGTTGGACAAATAATACCTGATTTCACATTTAATGATATGATTTCAAGATACCATATTTATATAAAGTATATTCATCAAATGATACAGATATGAAAGGTAAGACATCAGCAGTTGGTGAGTATCTTTTATTTTTAATTTGGCAAAAAACTTATATTTTTAAATTTATAACACCTTTTTATAGGGTATCTGACATATTACACTACATACGTTAGTTTGAATCAATTAGAAATTTTAAAGAGTTTGCCAACAGATTCAGAAATCAAGGGAATAATTCATATTGCATATAAACAAGCAACAGCTCTTGCAAAGATTCTCATGATGAAAGATTGAGAAAATTTGACAATTTTATTACCATGAATGTTCCTTCTGTTGAAGAAGATGATGATGAAATAATTAATAGTTCTTCTGAACCATCACTAAATTTTTTGATAACAATTCAGTTGATTATTTTATTAGTTTAGCAGCAAGAGAAATGGACAAACAAGATGATATTGAATTGGAGGATGGTGATGAATCTAATTATAAAGGAAATTTCAAGTATAAAATCTTGAGAGCAATCTCATTATTATGACATGCATCATGAACTTCTCTAAAAGTGAATTCAACAACAACATGTTGCTTAGATCCATCTATTTCTACTTCAGCAAGCCAAAGATTTTTATTTCGTAGTCTTTCTACATAGTTAAGATTTTTCAATTTCCAATCTGGGTTAGAAAACGGGGAAAAGGTCCATTGGAAAATGTTTTGGGAATGGATTGACTATTGGAAAGAGCAATGTGGTGATTTTGAAGATTTTGCAGACAGATAATAAGAGTTGAAATTGCACAAGCTGCTACTATGGCTGTGTGGCCATCATAGAATGTCATGTCAAGAGGGATAGTTGGAGTTAGTTTGTTAGCATAATAAGCTGCATTCTGTAAGTATGAACACTGCTGGGTTTCCCAATCTGTTTTCACTTCCAGATTGAGAATAACAAACTCAGTACCAGCAATTCTCCTGATAACTGTTCCATCAGTATTATATGCATTATCCTTGTAATTTTCTATTGTCAATGCTGGATTCAAATCTGTAAAGATATAGTTCAAAAACTTCTTTGAGTTTTTCTTATAGTTTCAAGATGTGATAGTTGAACTGAGAGCTCTTGGATGAGCTTTACATTTCCTTTTGTTATCAGAAAGTGTGATGGTGTCATCATAAAATAAATTTCTGAATGTCTCAAAGACTTCATAATAGAACCTGATTGTGATATCTGATTGACTCATGAGTCTGTGGTTGGGGGTCCAATACTATATGTTACAAACATATGAGAGGCAACATTAATTTTCAAATTTTTTTCAAATAGTAAAAATCCATAAAATTCAAACCCTGAAGGAAACAATTTATAAGTTTCAAATTAAAGATATCAGTGTTTGAGTTTAATGGATTTTTACTATTTGAAAAATTTGAAAAATTTGAAAATTAATGTGGCCTCTCATATGTTTGTAACATATAATATTGGACTCCTGGTCTGTGGTGGTAAATTTTCACATGATTAACAACATCAACATGACCTGACTCAGCGTAGGTGCTAGGTGCTATTCCTTGAAAAATATCAATGTTGGCACTCCTTGACTCGAATTCTAGAGAGAATGTAGAAGCTTGTTAAATAGACCAAAAATTTTCAGTTTCTGCAAATTAATATCCAGTCCAGTTCAACTTACTCTTCAGACACTTAGCAATTTATCTAACTCAGGGGATGGTGAGCATGGATGTTAGATTCCTGGTAATTGAAGTGAAAAAATAAGATGGTGAGGAAAATAGATTAGTTATGAAATTAATTACAATATACCAAACAAATAAATAAACAAAATGGGATAAATGGAAAATAATTTTTTGTATATTTTTTTATGCAATTTGTTCATTGCCTTTATCTTTTTTATAATTAGCTAATACTACATCCTGAAATATCCTCACTTGCTCCTTCCAATCACTTTTGTCCTTCTTCAACTTCTTCTCCTCTTCCTCCAATCTTGCCTTCTCCTGTTTCTCCTCTTCACTAAGGTCATTTCTTCTCACCTTTCTTCTCAACTCCTTCAACCACTTCCCATCATCCTCCCTTCTTCAAACGCCCTTAACTCCTCTTCTGCCTTTCCTAATTTCTCAAGTGCAATGTTGTATTATATTTATTTACACGAATCATTAATCACACACATCCATCAAGAAAGGCGAAATGGGGTTTTCTCAAATTGGTTTAGGCTTAATATTAAATTTATTAAATTCATGAACAATTTCCCTTCATCAGGAAATTAATTTAACGTAAACTTGCATAAATCTTACGATGCTGACGTAATATTGTGTAAATCTTACAGTGCCGATGTAAGTTTTACACTTTTTTATTATTAAACTTACAATTGAAACGTGTAAAATTTTTTTATATTTTCCAGATGCATGGGGAGAGGTTGAGTTAGATTCAACAACATCAAGAAAAAATGACAGGTGTGATATTCTTTCACTTCCAAAAGTTGCAATGGGACTGAGGTTGTGGGCGAAACCTCTTAATGACTGTCGAAACTCTGTTGAAACTCTAATGAACAATTAATGTGTAACCTGTGAAAACTCTGATGATTGGCGAAAACCCCAAATGCGAAACACTGCTGAAACTCTAATAAACAATTAATGTGTAACCTGTCAAAACTCTGTCAATTGATTTCTGGAGGAGTTTCCCCCACAACCTTAAATGGGACATAAAGGGGATGGAGTGGGACTGTCAAATGATGGACATGAATGCTTTGTTTTGGAATTAACTTATGCTCCACAAAACCAAGATAGAAGGAAGATGGCTGAAGATTTTTATAAGTTGCTTCGAGAAATGAGAGACCTGCTTCAAATGACTGTCGAAACTCTGTTGAAACTCTAATGAACAATTAATGTGTAACCTGTGAAAACTCTGATGATTGGCGAAAACCCCAAATGCGAAACACTGCTGAAACTCTAATAAACAATTAATGTGTAACCTGTCAAAACTCTGTCAATTGATTTCTGGAGGAGTTTCCCCCACAACCTTAAATGGGACATAAAGGGGATGGAGTGGGACTGTCAAATGATGGACATGAATGCTTTGTTTTGGAATTAACTTATGCTCCACAAAACCAAGATAGAAGGAAGATGGCTGAAGATTTTTATAAGTTGCTTCGAGAAATGAGAGACCTGCTTCAGGATAAATAATTAATGTGTACGCATTGATCATATCACAAACTTCTTTTTCATAAAAACAAAAAATGCCACCTAAAAAAGACACCAACAAAAGAAGCAATAATAATACCCGAGAAGAAGTAAAAGGGTAAGTGTTTCAAGGATGGTGGTGGTTATCGCCCACCACTTGTCGTCACTCTAGTTTCTATATAAGATTGGCCTAGTCAGTTTACTTAGTGAAAAACGAACAGCAAAACATACCAGACTTTGTAAGGTGATAATAACTGCCATTTAGTTTTATTGTTACTGGACTACATTTTAAGCTTGGACACTACCAAAATTCTAATTGATTGTCCTTTGCAATGTGAACAGGATAGTAATGATGGTGACGGTACCAAAGATAATCCTTTTTTTGTATCAAATGAGGAATCATCCAATGATGAAAATGATGGTGA